TAATCGGGGTTACGTTACGTACTACTAGAGTCTGGTCAATTTTGTCAATAACCATGAATAACTGTAAAATAGCCTGTTTTTTCTCACAGTAATAGGCTCTGTGCACAGCAGCAGAAAAATAAACAACCTTTTAAAATTCAAATTAATTAAAGTAAAGACTACCTGATTGTTTTTATGTGTGTAATACTTCAGTTTGTGGTGCTGTTTAAATTTTAATATTTATTATGCCTCAAAAGTAGCATTACCATTCGCATTGAGATAGAAACCTTTTTCCAAACACAGTGTCCTCTGCTGAAGTATCCATTTTTGTGGACATTTTAACATAATAACACCCAGCGCTTCCTGTTCTCTACTTTATCTTTAAATATTTGTTAATTTTAGCATGACTCTGCACAAACCCCATAGATGCACAAATTGGACAAGAAGTAGTGGCAGTGTTGTGCTGTTGTGCATAGCCTATTTAAACACTGAAATTTCATATTGTAACATGCCTACTCTGTGCAGTACCAGACTGGTCAGGTCGCTAGGAAACTTGAATGTAGTGACTGGCGACCCCATGTGCTATGAGCCGTGTGGCAGCCATAGAGACACAGCCAGTGCTCCGCTCAACTTAAACATGGCTCAGATCCACCTGCAGGCAAGAACCCGGCGCTACGTCTAAAGAGCATATCTCCTCCTTCTCAACGTGGCTGCTCTCTTATTGGTTTAAAGGCGTGCTGCTTAACATTTCTAGTGAAGAGTCTGCCACCTGTTGGTCGCCATGGAAATGTTATTGCTTTGTCTAAAATCTTCCACAGTATAGATTAAGTAGATGATGACACTAGCCTGCTTCACAATTCAGATCTGTAAAGAGTTGCCCCTATTCACAGAAGGAATTAATGTGTTTTTGTAATGAATTCTGTAATGATTAAATGCTAACTGGATATGTTTAATGTCATACCGTGGAACATTCCAGGCTAAGCAATAACATCTCCACATCTCCATGGAGACGAGCAGGTGTCGGACCCTCCACTAGAGAAGTTGCGCAGAGCACCTTTAACTGCTAAATTGGTGTTTGTGATTAATACTTGTGGCATTCTTACACATTTTCTTCGCAATTTTACAAACTCGGCTTCAGAAACTTTCAAACTTTCAAAAACTCTGCAACTTGCTTCACTTTTTCTGTGGACAGTGAATGTAACGTGAATTAAACAAACTGAGTTGCACCACAGATCAGTTCTAGTAACAGTATCAAAATTGTGGTACCTGATTTTCAAAAAGGAAAAAAGGAAAGGAGTAAAAAGTATTTAAAGGGCCCATATTACGCTATTTTCTGATCTATGTTATAATGTTGTTTCCTCCATCAAAAGCATACACAGAGTTGGGTTTGAACTAAAGTTATATTTGAAAGTGGCCAGAAATTAAACAGTATTTTATTTGCTGTAAGAGAAAGGCCATATTGGTGCAACACAGTCAAAAGTTTCCGCTATTCCTACGCTGGTACGTTGTGTCCCATTTGTGCATGTTATTTTCCTCAACTTTCTCTCTGTGATTTTCAAGTGGACTATGGCTGGCTATAGCTCCTTTAAATGGCCATACAACCTTTTCTATTCTGCCATGTCTGTATGTTGTTGCATGTTACATCCTACTCAGTGTGTCCTTGTTCTTTCTCAAACCTAGACGCACTGTCTCCAAAGGACGTAAAGCCCGCACTTCTTTGCAATCAATGAGGTTTTCTAGGCTTTGGTAATTACTTTTCTCTATTATGCTTAAAGGCCTATATTATGCTATTTTCTGGTCGATGTCATAATGTTGTTTCGTCATCAAAAACATACTTGGAGTTGTGTTTTGTTTTATTCACACGTTTAACACACAAATCCTGGCTGAGTTCTTCTCTCAAGCAGAAAACACTCATGCCATGTGGTAATACAGGAAGTGCTCCATACTCCTTTACTAAAATCATTTGGATACCTTTAGCCCATCTCTACTGAGCAAAAAATAAAAGGTAGCTGTTAACTTGAAAATTACCACTACATGACATCACATGGTGCAACAGAGCATTTTGAGACAGCTTTGGAGATGTAGACAGATAGCCAGGCTGGTGCTATCTAGTGCCTTTCGCTCAATTTCTTCTCTCTCCAGCGACTAGGTCAGGAAACAGAATATCTTCATCATCATCTTTATTCTGGACTCATGGTCCATTTAAAAAACAGACAAGGACAGTGACAATACAAAACAATAAACATTCATGTTTTTAAAAGACAGCCATACCAGTGTCTCCACATGTTGGACTGATGTGTTATTGCACTGAATCTCAAATTTGTGAGTGACATTATTATTTCATTGTCTGATTTGTTCGGTCTGCAGATAAAACTGTACATTAAAATTCTTAGTGCAGCTTGCAAAGTGTTCACTCGAGCAGTAACAAACATTTCAATCGCACTCGTCCATCGTGGCCTCCTCAAAAACACCCGTAAAGCGTCATTGTAGGCCACCTGTAGTCTTTGCAAACTGGCTTTTTTATAAATACACTAGATGGTTCGCAAAAACCCTGGAAGTGTGAGTCTGGACACCAGCCAATCAGCGAAGAGCCATACATTCTGTGTTGGCAACGTTTCCCAATATCGAGGATTAAAAGTCGGAATAAAGAGAATGTTTGGTGAATTTTATCAAGGAAAAAGACGTTATTGCCCTTCTTCCTACGGGATTTAGTAAAAGCTTAATATGCCAGTTAGCCCCGTTAGCAGCGCATTACATACATCACGACCAAATAGCAGTGATTGGTTAAATAAAAAAAGTACCCGCCTACTGTCGAGCGAACGAATCCTAATGATGTGAGGTCAGACGGTTTCCACGAAGTGAAACCGGCTGATGAATCAAGCTAGTAAACAGACTAATAATGCAGGATCACTCAAACGTGTGAATGAATCTAAACTTAACTTCAGGTAATGTTTTTAAAGATTATAACTTGGCTTAAAGCTCATAACAGTCAGTTGTGCATAATATAGGACCTTTAAAAACACAAGTCTGGATATATGCACATTAACAGTAACTTCACCATAATATTTTTTTCTGTTTTTCAGTCACTCCATACCCAAGGCTAGAGCACCTCTTCTTCGATGAGTCTGCCTTCTTCACTATATCAACTTTAACTGTCAATATATTACTGGTTATTTTAACAGGATGACATATGGTATTAGGTTTCATACTCAAATCTTTCAGTGTTTAGACAACGGCATGCAGTAGCAGTTGTATTACTCCTATCTTAGAAACCTGGATCTGTATGTTTCTCCATTATGAAAAATGCGCTGTTAATTACTATGAAATACGACGAAAGGAAAGCCACTAGGCACACATTATGAGATGGTTTTTATATATTTTTAATTTGAATGTTTAGTGCCTATAATCAAATAGTTTAGCTACCATGTTTAAATTTGTATATTAAAACAATTGTATAATGTTAGTACTTTGTAAATATTTTGTACCATGTTAGAATCATGTTAATTAGAAATGGTCCTAAAGGGGCCGCATGTAATCATGGTCATAACCTACTATACACTTGTTAAAAGCACATCTTTTTAATAAAAAACAAAATGATCTTTTTTTGGTTTTATGTCTTTGCTCTGTCAAGAATTATTTTGCTCAGTTTAGTTGACTCATAAAAAAATAATAAGTACTAGACAAACTAAATCTACCTAGTGACACATTTTGATTTGTGGCTTTAGTAGTGTTATATAACTTGGCAATGGTCTACAGGCATTATTGCTTCACCTGGAGTGTTCCACGATATGGCAGTAAAGATCAACTGGAAATACTTTACTTTTAAATCTGACAACCATTTAGCTGTCTGTTGATGTCTGTGGATGTTCGAAGCATTAGTCATTTCTGTTTTAGCTGAAGCTAGTCCCTCCTGGTTCATTTGTTTTCCAGTTGCCATGGTGATGCTCACAGCGTACTGATACAGAACAGTGATTAACCATTTTTGGAACTACCTCTGCGGTTATGCAAAAATAGTGCACGACAGTTACAGTATGCTTCCCTTCACAGATCATGTTGTTTAATGCACTTATACCACAGCTACAAATGTCTCACCCATGAATCTGAAAAGCTTATTCATCGTCTATAAATGTTATTTCAGTGTTTTTAATAAAGCTAGTTTCTGCTTTCTACTCAGCAGTTGAGCATTTGTTTACCAGTTGCTATGGTGGTCACAGCGACGGCAGTCTGAGATTTTTTTTTTTCCTGCAGTTTCACTTGTGCATTATGCAGAATTAACACACAGCAGTTAGACAGAAATGTTCACTCACTGTTGTATAACTAATGTGATTCCTTAAATACCTTGAAAAACAAGTAATCTCCCCTTGAGTGGGGTTGCAAGGTCTGACCTGCAACTTGGCCTTGGCTCTTCTGTCTAGGTAATGCCGTACTGTGGAATATTTCAGGCAAAGCAACAGCACAGAGACAAACAGGTGGTGAACCATTCACCTTAATTTGAATGCATTTCCTGTTTTGACATGTAAATTTAATTCAGTGACAAATTAGAAACGTTAATGTGTCACAAAGAAAAAAGCCACATCACTCCATAAACTTGCAAATGGTTTATTCTCCAGCAGTCAGATGTTCAGTGCCTTCAGTGCAAGAACAGAACTCAAGTATAAAACCCCAAACCTTAAGAACTGCACATATGAAAACAGTGTTATGCATTAAGTGTTTGGTGAAACTAGTTTTTCCTGCAGGAGCTTCAAGGACAGCCTGTTTACTGTCCTGCCGATAGTGCTGGAAAGTCTTCAGGGTCGTAAGGGTTTGGTGCCAAATGGTCGCCCTAAAAGTAAATAGAGGTTAAGGTAATGTTATAATGCCAGTTACCTTCATACATTTTCTCACCATTTCTAGTACAGGCTTCATTCGCTCCATCTGAGCAGTTGCAGCTCCTCTCACTCCTCCTCTTGGCCCGCCTCTTCCTCGACCTCCACGGCCCGGTCTTCCGAGACTTCCAAAGTTTATATCCAGGAGAGAGGTGATGTCATTCACGGAGCGGCGAAGGAACGTGCCCTCTTCATCCAGATCCAGAGCCTTCTTCAGATTCTAAATTAATAGAAAATATTTTATACTGTAGATTTACCTGTACTTTACAATTGATACTTTGCAGTGACACCACGCTGGGGGTGTTGTACATGCTGCTCTATTGGCGGAATGTTCAGCAGTTACCACGGTGGCTGATGCACACATTAAAACTTTGTGTTTGGCAATACAAAATGGTTTATTTAAACAGTACCTTTTCAGGAGCCTGTGATCAATGCGAGCGTTCATGGTCCTGTTCAGGTGTTTGATTCTCAATAAAAAAGGTGAGTGATAAACTTTTTATAATGTGTGACTAATTTTATGTGTTAAATCAGCTCTTTTTGGTCAAATTGTGTTAAAATAAAGGTCAGATTAAGTCTAACTTGAGTAACAGAGGTCCTAACAGCAGTGCTTTCACTTAGCTTCACACCCCCCAGGAAATGCCGATGGCATCAGCTGCAGAGTATCAATAACCAGTATCAGTCCGCTTACATCCAGGTGCTTGGACTCATGAATGACTTTAGCTTTAGAGGGAATTTTGTTCTCAGCTTTGCGAATGTTGAACTCCACTTTGGGTCGATTACTCTCCTGCAAAGCTTTCCATTCATCCAGTGACATCTCCATGGCAACATGGACAACCATCTCTCCTTCCTCCTCTTGCAGTGGCCTGTCAGAAAAAAACTAAACATTTTAATAAACTCATCCAACTCATTCTAAACCAGTAGATTCATTACTTACAGATTTTCCTCTTCTGCAGACAACTGGGTTTCTTCAGATTTTAATGGAGCAACTTCAGTCACCTCCATCAACTCACTTTGACATATGAAAGGGTTAGACTATACATTTAACTAGAACACAATTAAACATATTTAAGATTTTACAAAAAATTCTGCCTGTTTCCATTTTTAAATTTTACTTCCTGGTTGAACACATGTATAAGTAATTCTACAACTGTTACTTAGTAGCCATAATGTTAACAAGGGCCAAAGCTTCCTAAAAACTGCACAAGAGTTATGATTAGACTAATAAAAAACAAACACTTATTTTGTAAAATGAAAGTTTAAAAATCCCTTCTTTGTGCGTAAATTGACGGTGCATTTCAGACAAAAGTCAGCATAAGTAGAGGTAATCCATTTTAGAACTCCTCTCCACTTCCTGTATTTTTAAGATTATAGGTTTCCATTTCACCAACCTTGTGGCTTCATCAACAGAGCCCCAGTTCCAGGCCCCCTTGCCTCCCCTTTTCTCCTCAGGTGAGATGCCACTAAGAGAGATGTAGTGTTATGGAGGTAGGACTGAACTATTTGGGGAAAATATCCCAACTGCAATTTCTGACAAGCATTGTAATTTGATCAGAATACAAATTCACATTTTAAACTTTTACTGAAAAAATACTGAAACTGACAAACTAATACAAGAAATGGGCAATGTTCATGGTGCACCAACAAGTCAACAAAGTGGCAGCTTTCAGATTAAATTGGATTATGAGTCTTACGTTCCATTGTGCCGGTCAAATTCCCTCTTGCCCCTCAGGTTGAAGGTCTCAGAGTTCCTCATGAAACCGCCTCCACCTCTCCCTCCACCTCCTCTCCTCCCTCCTCTGTAGCCTCCTCTGGCTCGGACATCTGCCTCTTCATAGGAAGGCCTGAAAGTACCAAAACAAACATGAGTTTCCAAACCATTCAAATTTCTGACATGTTTTACAAAGGCAGCCCTACCTCGGAACAGAGAACTCCTGCGGGGCGTCATCTGCGTAGTTCCTTCGGTCTCCGTAAGCAGCCCGTTTCATGCCCTTTTGGCCTTCTTCCTTCTCAGCTCTCTCCGTCACAGGACCAGCACGGCTCTGCAGCTTTCGAGCTACAAACAAATATCATTTAACAATAATTATAGAGGCATTTGTTCAGTAGACAGGGAACATTACATCTTTGATATTTAACAATTACAGTCTACATAAACCATCAAAACAAAACCAGTTACAGTCTACATAAACCATGACCAAACCACCACGTTGGCCACCACGCACCATGCAAATTTTCTAATGGAGAGTATGTTACCTGCTCACCATGGGGGTGTAATAACTGACCCATTCATCTCCTTCAAGACTAGCAAGTAGAGGTGGAAGGTAACAAAGTACAAGTAGTAAAGTATAGATACCATAAAAGTACATTTTACAGTGGATACTTTTAAAAAAATCTCACTACATTTGAAAGCAGGTACCTGGACTTTCTACTCCATTACATTTTTTAACTGCACTAAAAAGTAAAAAGTACTTTTCATATGTTTTGGGGATTGTTTTTAATCATGTTTGTAGTAACATCCTCACTAAAGTTTTTGAATTCAAGCTTCATAGAAATTGATTTGTATTGCAACTGTTGAAATCTGAATCACTTTTAGTCAATATCACTACATTTTAACAAAGTAACAACACTTGTGTGAAATACTTCCCACTCTTAAAATACATTATTTAAATGGGTACTTAAGTAGATTTACTTTGGTAAATGTTTACCTCTGTATCTGTACTTCTACTTAGCACAATTGAGAACTTCATCCACAACAGCAAGTGACCAAACCTCATTGCAAAAATGAATGTTTGGAAATATAACAAAGTGCCACATGTTCCAACCATCTCCATGGAGAAGCAGGTGGCACAGCGGTACTAACCAACAGAAAAGGGCAACTTTAGCAAAAACATGAAGAGCAAAACAGGAAGAGCAAAAACACGCAAAGCAAAAACACTAAGGGCAAAACATGAAGAGCAAGAGCAACTTTAGCAGAAACATGAATGTCAGTTAGCAACATTTAGTTTAGGCCTACAAGTTGCATCAGAAGAACACAAAACAAAACACTTGATATCATCTTCCTCACTTCCAGCAGCCTAATTGAATGAGGTTAAACGTTACTTACCCAGTGTTGGGAGTAACAGATTACATGTACCAGAGTTAACGTAATCAGAGTACAAATTATGAGTAACTGTATTCAGTTACAGTTACTGTTTCAGTGAGTGGTAATTGGATTACAGTTACTTTGTTGAAATAAATGGATTACACAGAGGTATTTTCCTGTTTTCCCGTTTTCCCATTTTGGGCTATATCCCGCTATTTTTTTTCTTCTTTTTTTTTTGGTAATTCCACTCATTGCCGGAAACTAAACCAGGTCTAAACTAGATCTAAACCAGGTCTAACCCAGGTCTAAACCAGGACAAAAGCCAGGACCAAAACCAGGTCTAAACTAGATCTAAACTAGATCTAAACCAGATCTAAACCAGGTCTAAACCAGGACTAAGACGGGACTAAGACGGGACTAAGACGGGACTAAAACCGGGACTAAAACCGGGACTAAAACCAGGACTAAGACTAGGACTAAGACCAGGACTAAGACCAGGACTAAGACCAGGACTAAGACCAGGTTTAAACTAGATTTAAACTAGATCTAAACCAGGACTAAACCAGGACTAAAACCAGATTTAACAGGACTAAAACAGGACGAAAATCATGCTGCGTGGACGTGTCTCCTCCTCTTCTATCAATAACGTTTTTAATACGGTTAAGTAAAGTCTGGGCTTTTTATTGTCTTTTATCAGACAAAACATCTTATGTTATCTTATCCTAGTCTTTGCTTCTCTACAGCAAATCAAGTAATCCAAAGTATTCAGATTACATTTCTCACTTTAAGTAATTTAATGGATTACGTTACAAACTACTTTTTGATGTGTGTAATCTGTAATCTGTAGGGGAATACATTTTAAAAGTAACCTTCCCAACACTGTACTTACCTTGGACCGACTCTGGAGCCTCCACTCCCACGGGGACACGCCGGTCCCTCTGCGACTCTTTCTGACCAGGCTTTTTCTGTCTGTTCTTCACGTCCTCCGGCTTCTTTTTCTTCTTCTTTTTGTCCTTTTCAGTTTCAGCCTCGTTTAAGATGTCAAATGGATCCGCATCATCGTCCAGAAGTTCACCAAACCTGTTGGCCACCACGCACCCAAACTCGTCTGGGAGCATCTTCGCCTGGTGTGTGAGGGACGAAGCTAATGTTCAGAAGCTTGTTCCCTCTTGTATAATAACAAAAACTAAATGAACGGCAAAGGAAAAGAAAACAACTGATTAGTTAGCTAACAGAAAAGACGTGCGGGCCAAGTTCGCGTTTCTCACGAACAATCAACAACCGGACCCACGTGACTGCGCGCGCTTAAGTGTCCTCAGGTGTGGAGCACGTGCGCACGCCCCCTACGCACGCCCCGCGCACGCCCCCTGTGCCTACCGGGCCTCACCTTTCCAATCAGGGGCCAAAGCGCACACTGTTTGGTCCAAATTAAATAAAATCAGAGGTGAATATAATAAATAATGATATAAAACAGTAAGGCTTTGTAATTAGGCTCACACAGGAAATAACTTTGGCAATGCACGCATTTTGTTGCCATGGTTACCACTTTAGTTGAGCCCAATATGGTTGAGGCACTTTGGTGCAGCAAATATTTTACAGGAGGCTGGGGCAGGGTGACCAGACATCGCTATTTACCCTGGACAGTCCCAGTTTTGACCCCAGGGTTCCCACGGTTATGGAAATCCTGGAAAAGTCATGGAAATTGAAAAAGTCATTTCCCAAGCCTAGAAAAGTCATGGAATTTTAGTATCTCTTTCACACAACTGCAGCTTTCTTTTTTCTGTTTAAAAGAAACTAAATAATAAATAATAAATGTACTGACAGTATTTTGAATGTTAAAAACTATAATACCAAACCATAGGGTGAGTGGAAAGGGTCAACATTTCATATTTAGCCCCAAAAGTATGGTCAATGCTACACATGTAGGGTACCATAAAGTCACTTTAGGTCATGAAAAAGGTTTTTAAAAGTTTTGAAATTCTGTCAGTGAAAAAGAGTGGGGACCCTGTGAGCTCTGTGTCCCCTGTGTCAGCAGATTTATACAAAACTAGTGATTTGTCCCAGTTTTATACAAGACATGTCCCAGGTGTCCCAATTTTTGACAAATGTGATCCCTGCCAATAGTGAAGAGAGGCATAGATTGTCATTTGTTTAAGTAAAATACAGGAAAGCTGCTTAAAAATCACCAAAACACAAAGAAAATGTGACTATACTGACTCACGTTAGTCACGAATAAATCATGTACGGGCCAAGTCCGTAACAATTTTCCTTAATTTATTATGCACTCGTTTCACAATTTTATTATAACCAGCAACTCCAAACCAGGAATGTCCTAGTTTTTGTTTTGAAAATCTGATCACCCTACGCAAAGACAAAGGCAAAGGCAAAGACAACAGTGCCATCTCTAGATTATGTTAAATTATGCATAAAAAATAACAGAAAGTGCTTTATACTACCATAAATTGACAATAGGACAGTGTTCCCCAGCCCATTTTCCCCAACAGCGACCCCTATTTCTTTTCACAGGGATGGCTTTGATTACACCAATATCCTGCCTAGTGTCTTACAAGTAAAAACAAAATAGTTTATGGTTAATAAAAATGGCACCAATAATTAAATATAAAAGCAATTCCTTCATTATATTCAAGCAGACCTCATGTAGGACTCCTTGGGGAAGCACTGGGACAGACCAAGTATCAAAGAGGTGCAAAGACAATACTGTTCCATTAAGTGTCATTATTTTACACACCTAAAATGATGGTGCAAACTATTTTAAATTAAGTTGAAATGCACCCTTTTGCACCCTTGTAGACCCAGGCCTGTTAGAGTATAAATATAAAACTCTTGCTTTCTCTTTCTTAAAGATATGGCATAATATAGCCTATGTAAGATAAAAATAAATATATCTAAAAATAACACAAGGTCTCAGCTATAACCAGTAGTTCTCCATCTTTTTTATTCTCTCCAAAAGAACCTGATCTTTGAAAACAGCTGCTTATAAGTTTATATCATAATGCTTTTTTGAGGTAGAACGTGGCAGGCCAATCCAAATGGCTGATGTCTAGTCATTTCATTTTGCAGTGAAACTGAAACCCCATGAAGCCAGTCCTTGAACTAGAGTTAGTATACTGCTTCACTCTCCTGCTTCTAACATAGGCTCTTTTGTTCAACATGTATCCACCCATACACGATTATGTAAGTTTGGCGCCTCCGTACCACCCTTTTCCTTTCCCTTTAACTTGACCATAAATGTAATAACATAAACAGGCTGCACAGCGCGGGAAAAGGGCCATCTGCTCGTCTGCTAACCGCTCTAAACTGTGATTGGGTGTTTCCCGTTTAAAGACCCTGTATGACACATTCTCGGACCAATCATAGAGTCAGTCTGCAGACGAGCGCGCCGGGGGTTTCAATTCCATTGGTCCAAATGATAAGCCAATGCTGTGCACGCAGAGCCCCGGGCTTCTGAGCATTTGGTCCCATGTCTGCAGGTCAGTTGTAGAGCTCATACCATTGGTTAAAATCGACATGTGCCTCAATAAGCGCGTTGTAGATTGGTCCGTGCGCTGCTCAGGCGCGCTTTTGCAACGCGGGACGGCTCTCGTGTGAGCGCTCAGAGCAGAGCAGGAGGTCACAGTGGAGAAGAAGGGGACTGTCTCGTGCTGCTTGCTCTGAAGCAGTGGATACTTTTAAGAGAAGACTATCTTTTTATTTGAAATGAAGAATACATTGACTCCACAAGCCTGAAGAAAAGCGGGACCATTCTTTCTCCATTCATTAGTTTTCAAAGACTCTTTTTGGTCAGAAGTTTTGATCCTTCATACTTTTTAATTTTGTTGCTACGGGATTTTTGTTTTTTATAGCCTATTATGGCGGAAAACAAGCATCCTCATGTTGTTTATTGCAACGATTCGCCTAAAAGAGTTTTGGTTTCTGTTATTAAAACCACCCCTATCAAGCCACGGAAAGAGGCAATGACCCCGACCAGCCCCGGATTCAGTGACTTTATGGTGTATCCGTGGAAATGGGGGGAGAATGCGCACAATGTGACCCTAAGTCCAGGCTCGGTGAGCGGCGCCTCTTCCCCAACCGGGACCCAAACGGTCAGGGAGGCGGACACTGCTCCTTCCCCGGACCAGTTCAAGGTACGATACAACTTTTACTAATATTATAAAAGCTGCTAACTATCCAAACTGCACTGACGCACCTTCAACGTCATTATAAATTAGGTTATAGCATAGAAATATGAATAGGACAGTCAAATATGAATTACAGTGTGTACTACATCACAATTACGCACGCTTAATGGTTATATATGTAATAACTTGTAGCAAATACATTCACCAGGCTTTTACTCTCTTATTTAATTACATGCACAACCCGCCTAACAGTTGCAGCAGGGCACAGTTTTAAAGCATAAAGAGTGCTTTAAAAATCGCCCGCGCATATGGGTGTGACATGATGGATTTAAACCCCACACACTTCCTGGTCTTGTTGCAGCTGCCAAGTGGTGACGTTTCTTCGCGCGCCAAATGTAACCGGATAGACTGAATAATGAAGCAACGTGTCACAGAGTCGCACACGTGTATTTAAACAAGGGTCCCAAGTGGCCCCGAGAACGGAATATGTTCTGAATTATAATTTCGCAACCACATTGGCCCATGAAATAGACAATAACACACCAAATCCATCCTTAGACTCATCACCTTGCTTGATTTATGGTGACCACATGCTCCACTTTTGGTTGCCCTGCACCGACTGTAAGCCCCTGTCTCCTGCCCACTTATTTAATGTACTTCTTTTTCACTGGTGCAACATGAATTGTATAAAAAGTTAGATTTACAAATTATTTTTAACATGAAATTTTACAAATTTTACTCATATAAACAACACTTTCTGGGTGTACTGACTTGTTCCTGTTATAATGCTCACTCCCTCTCTTTTTTATGGTCGTCTTTACCTATGAATTGCATTTCTTTTTGCACAGTTTCTCCCAGTTTTACAACAATCTGAAGTAGCCAATATAGCAAATTTCAATAATAAATCAGTCTTATGGCTAACCCTTTCTTCTCTTCTGTCAGGACGGCATTAGGAGAGGGCGGCCGCGAGCAGACACTGTTCGGGAGCTGATAAGTGAAGGCGAGACTTCACTGAGTCGTATCCGCTGCAACATCTGCAACCGAGTGTTTCCTCGTGAGAAGTCTCTGCAAGCTCACAAGAGGACACATACAGGTAATACACAAACAGACTACTACAAACTACAGTGAACTCAATCTTGTATATAAAATCAACCCCTACCTTAGATTATTGAGCTATAGAAGTAGTTTTTAAATTTTGTGCTATGTTTTTGCAGCCCATCTTTTCAAAGCTGCTTATGATCCCTAATTAAAATTTTTATAAATTTTTTGCCCACATTTGTTGCAATATGACCTTGTGTGTTAAAAAATCTGCAACAATTACAATTTATTATTAGTATTATTAATTATGATTAGATCTGGGACATAAGCTTAAATAGTAGGATTCTGTTCAGAGTGCATTTTGGGAACTCCAGTAGCAGTAACATTTAAGAGAAAACTGAAATATGAAATGATAAATACCAACATTTCCATGCATTTCAAAACGTGTATAAAGGTCTAAACTACAGGTTCAACAAGATTTTCTATAAAGACTGATTTTGTTCTTTGGAGAGGACATTCTGTTATAATAATTGCAATTTCCATTCGTTTGTCCCTATTATATAACTTAATTTTGGTATTTCTTTCTTAGGAGAGCGGCCCTACCTGTGCGATTATCCAAACTGCGGAAAGGCCTTTGTCCAGAGCGGTCAGCTGAAGACACACCAGCGGCTGCATACTGGGGAGAAACCTTTTGTTTGTTCAGAGAAGGGTAAGTTGGTGTAATAGTCCTTCAATGAAAACTTTGCATTAGGCCTGTCGTGATGATTGCTATATAGAGTTATCGTTCATTACGTGAAAGCTGGAACCAGTTTTTTTAGGTCAGTATTTATCATATGTACATTTTCTTTGCACTACTGGGAAATGTCTGCTTATTTGTTTTGGCTAAATGACAAGATTTAAGAAGTAAAATGTTGAATTAGTAACTTGTGACTCTTTACAGAAGTGTTTCATTCTGCTATTTATCTATGGCAGCTTACGATTTTTTAACAGTATTGTACATTTAGAATTGTTTTTATGGTTTAAATCTGCTCCTGGGTTATTGTGTCAGTGATATAATTAGTTTCATCTATATTCACTTAAGCAAGAAATCGCACTTCAAAATTTGCTATCGTGACAGGAGGCCTAGTTTGCATTTATTTGATTGTTGGTACAATTGTTATTTCAGGATGTGGGAATCGGTTTACACATGCCAACCGCCACTGCCCCAAGCACCCTTTTTCACGACTGAAGAGAGAGGAACCAAAGGAAGGTCAAGGGAATGCCCATATGGTCGACAACAAGGCTGTGGCTGAGTGGCTGGCAAAGTAAGTTGTTACAAACTAGGATTAGATTTAGTTGTTTTTACTTTTTTTATTTGAACTACATGAGACCTTGATAGAAAATATTACCATTTAAAGGTTCTATATTACACAAAACTCTTTTTAAGTTCAGTTTTCAGTTAATAACTACCTTTTTACCTTTCAGTAGAGATAGGCAATTCCTGGGATGAAATTATCCAAATGATTCTAGTGAAGGAGTTTGGAGTTTAAAAACACAGTGGAGCATGTCCTGTATTACCACACGACATCACAAGGCGGCACTGAATAGCCACTAGTTTGTCACAATACCAGTTTTGATATCACAATAAAATAAAATATTAAAAATGTTATATTAGTTCTAATATAGATCAAGCATAGACTTTCTTCAGCCTTGATAAAAACATGTTTCATATTTAATGCACTTTACATTTTGAAAAAGGAAATCTCAAAGTGCTGCAGAGAAAGAAATGGCAGTATATAGTTTTCATATCAGTTTTAGTATTCATTAGAAGCCCTAAATTACTTCAGGTAGGGTTTTATTGTACTGAATATGAACTGAATGATCTGTTGTCTTGTCAGGTATTGGAAAACCCGAGAACAGAGGGCTCCCACCACCAACAAAATCAAAGCACAGGGCAAAGGGAGAGCCGAGGACCAGGAACAACAAGACCCGATGGAGTTCCTTCAGTCCGACGAAGAAAATGAAGAAGAGGAGGAGATGATGGTGGAGGAGGAGAAGAGCAGTCAGCAAGGTGGAGCAGCCAAACGCCGCCTCCAGGAACAGAGAGAGCGTCTCCACGGAGCCCTGGCCCTCATCGAGCTCGCCAACAACCTGTCTGCTTAAAAATCCAGCTGTTGTCCTGAAAAAAATCCACCTCCCAATCGGCCTTCCTGTTTAAAATGCTGTAGAAACATCTCATAGGTTTGGTTCACGTGATAACAACAACGTTCGGCAGTCAGATTGCAGATTTGTTGACCTGTTTCGTGGTTAATATCTGCAATTACTGGGCCTATCCACATGAAACAAAAAACTGGCACAAAGTTTAACATCTTACATAAATAATATACATAAATAAACACAATTTTCACAATAGCCTTAGACTCTAAAACATGTAATTTTTCAAGTTTGTGGAGATAATCCCAAACAAATAATGATAGGGTTTCTTTCAAAAACAGTAAATTTCCCATAAAGTTAACATAGGTCCTTGCCCATAAAATCATCAAATTCTCAAACGTGAACCAACCTATTTCAGACTAGTTCAGCTGGAAATATTAAGTTTAACACCAGTCTTGTTGTGGGAGCGAACTGTCAATACCTAGTCTAATTACAGCAGCAGAAAGGCACAAGCTAACGCACCTTATTCAATAGCTTCCATTTTATCTTTTCTAGGCTGCTATATTTTGTAGATTTGACCATATGAAGAATGTTGGTCTCCTCTTTGTCTTCTGAAGGCAAGAAAGGGGAGACTATGTTTTATGGTTTTAATTTGTTTGCACTTTGATGGTAACGAGTTTTGTTGTGAGTGTAAGAGTGTGTGGAAGTTTTTAAGTATATAAAAATATATATAAAATGGATAAAGCTCAGATGGACAGACTGATACAGGGTGTGCTCGAGAATAGAATAGATAATGTTGCTTTCTGTCAGCTTCGGTAATGACTGGTGGAGGAAAACAGTTGAGAGGTTTAGTTATGGTAATTCAGCTCATTTTTTTCCATACTGTTTGTGTAGGTTTTTTTGTTTTAATCATAATATACACAAAACCATTGCAAGTCTAATCCAGGTGTCTGTCCCAATCAAAAATTCTAATTATTATAGCAATTATCTTTTAGTTTAGACTCATAACAAAATAAACTGGTCACTTAGCACCCTTTCAAAGTACTTTTCTCAACATTTAAAGTTATTTGAACTAAAACACAACTGACAAATTGTTAAAGCAGTGCACCAAGTAAGTAAGTTTAGTCCTGGTATCTGATACAATCCAAATTATTCTAGCAATTATCTTAAAATTTTAGACTCAACAATATAAACTGGTCACTTAGCATAGTTTACAAGTACTTTTCTCACATTTAAATCTCTTTTAAAACACAACTGACAAACCATTACCTGCTAGTATCCATAGCGATGCCTAGAAAGTTCCACAGTATGGCATTGTCATGGAAGAAAGCAAGTGGCAGCACCAGGCCAAGTTACAGGTCAGATCTGTGGAGAGGTGACCATACTCACAGTTAAAAAGCATGAGAAGCACTTAGTCGCGACTACATCAAGTTTTGGATTAATCTTGCAATGCACTGACTATTTTACGTGGGTTGTGTCCAGAGAAAGACGCAAGTGTGATCTTAACTGGATTTGTGTTTGTTGGATTGGACTAGTTAAATTAACAACACTACATCCCTAAGCACTGTACTAACTGTTCACAAAATCTGCCTTTAATACTTCATCATGATTTCTGTTGTGTGTAGATGCATGCTCTTAGCCTCATGAAGTCCATCTCAAACTGGAAGTCAAATTAATTGTTGATAATCAAAGCACCAAATGATTTATTGTACCCATAGTGTGTTTCTAACCCTTAGTTTGTGTTGTGGTTGCTGGAAATTATTGTAATTAATATATACATGTCTGTTAGAGAATGCAGTGTGCACAATTTACCAAAAGCTTTGATTTTTAGTATTTCTCAATACTCAGTACTGCATTTCTATTAAATCAGTAGTTATCATGCTTGCTTTTTAGGCATATTCTACAGACCTGAAAGACTGTCCACACTGTTGAAATTGTTGATCTTCAATAAACATTCACTGAATCTCAGACTGTAAACTTTTTTTTATTTATACATAAGAAATATTTTCAATAATTTACAAATATCATCTAATAAATAATAAATGGCTCCAGTATGGAGAAAAATAGCACCACCTAGTGGTAAAAATCTCTTAATCCTTGGAAGGATGCTCTTCAGGAAGGGTTTCTGTTACATCAATTTTCACCTCTTCTATGGTTCTCTCTGGTGTTGTGTTGAAGCTGAAATATGAGTACACAAGTCCACCAGACATACTGAAAATACAAAGCTGAGTTACACGGATCGGTGACACTGTATAAAACCAGTTGAAATTTGACTTGTTTACCATATAGTGAGGCCTACAAAGTTTGTCCAAGAAAACACATAATCTCCTCCCACAAAGATACCAATGTAGGCCACAGCTACATTCTGCAAAAGTATAGTTAGATTACATTTCCTGATCACTGTGGCAAAACTATATACTGGTAACAAATCTGCATCATCTGCAACTGAGATAAGTATACTATTTTGCCTAGAAAATATCCTTATCTGTGCCCTCTTACCTTTATCGCCCCAACTACTGTGGTTGTTAAAGCAGAGTTATAATGGCTGCAGAGGACTATCGAATACATCAGTACAAACCTAAAATAAAATAACAAAAACTCAATAATGAAGTTACAAAAGGTTAAAAGGTTAAATTGAAAGTGACAAAGCATACCCCATAATGCAGGACATGATGAAACAGAATAAAAAGGGAACTGTTGTCCATTCCTGAAATGTTAACGCCTGTGAATAAGTTGGTGTGATAGAGGTGCAGAATACAAAAAACAAAAACAAATTAGATCTCCATTATAATATCGCATCAATCAGAGTTAAATTTTATAGAAAATACCTTGTCTAAGTCCCCTGTATATGCACATATCATGGTAGTGGGGATGACGATGATGAGGGCATTATAAAACAGGACACCGTATTTTCCAAGTCCCTAAAGTACAGAAAATAAAAGTATATTGGAGGCATTCCATTTATTCAGAGGCCAATAGGTTATGGAGCTCAAAAGTCCCTTCGAAATATAAATAAATCAAAATACAGTCCAGTTCTAGAAGTAAAATTTCCATTAATTTTACCCATAAACTCAAAAAATTCAAGTATTAAGAGCAAAGACATCATGGAGGATAATCTAAGCAGCTACGTGGTAACAAATACCCATAACACAATCCAAACGTTTATACATTTCGTAAACAGATTTTAAATTATATTATATATGTGCTCATCAGTCACCATGCCGCCCATTATGCCTGAGCAAGCTTTAAACTTTTTTTTGTGTGGATAATCTATGGAATAAATGAATGAGAAATTGACTTGGAATTGGCCCAACTAATCGCAGGCAGCAATATTAACATAAAATCTGATTAATTCTCCCACTATGACCTGAATAACATCACATGAATAATGACACAGACCTAAAATTCATGTTTCAAGTCTTATTAAAGATACAGTGATCAAAATGTAAAATCACCCTTGGCTTTTTCACAACAAACAACAACTAGCTCTAAAAAGGTGGAGGGAATTCAAGTGGAAGTGCCTTATATGATTCTTTATTACTCCCCAAACGCCAATCACTCTCATATTTTTTGGTCATGTACAAAATGAAAATCATTCTGGGACAATGTGTTAGAAAAAAACAGATACAATCTTGACTTATCTTGTCCCCAAGGACCTGAAAATATTTTTGTTAGGCCTTCTGTCTGGAGAGGTGATCGAAAAAGCGGACGGATACATTTTTAAGATTCTGACATTGGCATCAAAAAAGCAATAACAAGAAGCTGGCTTAAAAAAGACCCACCTTCAGTGAATCAGTGGCTAGACATTATAGAAGAAATATATTCCATGAAACGACTGACTTTTTTTCTACGACTCAAAAGACTTTTCTTCATTAAATGCTGGACAAAATGGTTGAATTATAAACAAAAAGAGACTTGACTTCTACATCCTTATTGCAATGGAACAGTGCCCCAAGCTCTGTATTTGTTTGTTACACAAAACTTGAAAAGTCTGAATAAATAAAAAGTTAAAAAAAAAAAAAAAAAAGTAAATCACCCATCTTAATGATCCACTGCGTTAACCATGAGTCTGTGGCTTCAACTCAAATATGTTTCAGGATGTGGGAAAAACAGTGTGGACACGCCTGAGCTCTGGATCATCATTGGATCATCTTAGTAATAACAGGAGCTGCAGTAACAGTCTAGTAGCAGTAATAGTAGGAGTGCAAGTATAAATATTTGCATATACATCTACGTACATTTGCAAATAGTTCTTATCTATCATATTTACAATATCTAAGGCATTATACAGCTCCGGAGCCACATATAACCCATTTAAGATCATTTGGAATCACAAAATAAACATATTTTATCTTTACCTCATGAGTGGACTAAAGCTGCATTGCTTTTATTTTAGAGGTGTTTTTTAAATTAAATTTTTTGACAACCACCACTATCACTTTTTTTTTACTTTTTGCTTAGTCAAAACTTAAACTCTTACCAGTCTGACCAGCTTGTCAAAACAATGCTATTCACTGCTTTGTATAAAGAAAAACAATTCAAAAACTGCCCAACCCTGATCTAAGGGGATATACTATGCCTTATTGGTGATGAATTATTGTAGAATTATTTGGCTAACACAAGTATTTAGTTTGAACACATTGGAATAAATGGTTGTGGTTTGTTATTGTGTGGGTATTAAAGAATCAAATCTTACATAATCATAATCAGTCTTACTTGCCTCTTGTATATAATAGCCTAGTTATATTTTGTATTACTGTATTTCTATATTTTATTTTTAAATTTACATACACATTTGTATAATTACGCCTTATTTGACAGCAGTGTTTTGATATTTTTGCTACTTATTTTGAATATTTTCTTACCATTTACCGTATTTTCTACACTATAGGGCACGCTCCTAAGCCTCCAACCCCATCAAAAAACTACTGCACGCCCCTCAATCCAGAGCGCCCTATACACGAATCCACCAGTCCCAGAACGACTTTAGTAAACTACAAATCTGCACCACCTGCACCCGAAAAACAACCGCAGCCACACTCATCACTCCACGCGGACGAGGAATGCAATGAAGGAACAAACCGAAAAAGTGAGCGCAATGTGCCACTTCTAGCCACAACTGAGTCACGCTGAAAATCCAGCGGTCCCAGACAGCACCCTCCCTACACGCCACAACTGAACAAAGCAGAGAGTCACCGTGAACGGGCCAAACAAAGTCCGACTGACCCATCCAACTGTTGTGTTTCGTTTAAAGTCTGGAGCGGTTTATTTGTGAAAAAAGTTTGAAAATAGACCATTCTATGACAGTGCGCCTTATAATCCAGAGCGCCTAATACTGCGGAAAATACGGTATATTGTTGCTCTTAGTTATTATATTGCGATGTGTGAGCTAAAAATTTCCCTCATGAGTCAGTAAAGTTTGTCTCAGTCTAATATGTCCCATTTAACTTTAAGTAAACAGTTACACTTGCAGTTTCATACAGATGAGTAAAACATCTGGCATCGCAAATCCTACCTCCACCCCGAGTTTCTTCTTGGTGTAAACGCCGTACGCAGCAGTGAACGCATCATTGAGCAGAATAAAAACGTATCCCTCCACCTCGAAGGCCATGTCTGAGCTACAACAACAGGAAGTCACGAGAGGTTACTCTTTGCGTTTACAAAGTACATAAAGTTTAATCCAAATAACTCACCTGGCTGCAATCAAAGCGCCAAACACTATGGTCAGAACACTGTACACCAGCGGTCTGGAGAATGTTTTTCTGGCAATAAAAAACCCAGAAGTCGTCATTCACACATCTTGTTATCTTGTCTTTAAGTGTGGATCTTAATGCATTTTCAACATCACTTACAGGTGCACTTTGAAACTTTTATGACAGATAACCCCCCACTGACAATCTGACATGTTAGAATCATGTTTCCTCCTCAAAAACAGACCTGGAGTTTATGAGTTTTTGAGAGTAATCTTGTATTATTAGGCTGTATATACTTCCAAAACTCAAAAACTCAGTGGTAGTTTTCAGGTTAACAAGTTACCGTTTACTTTTTTCAGCAGAGATTGGCAATTCCAGGGCTGAAACCAGTAAACCCACATAACCAGAAGTGGGAATATAGTATTACATTTTCATAGCTTATCAGTTTATCAGCAATATTCTTGCGTATCTTGCTTAACTTGTTGTTTACTTATTGAAATGGCCAGCCTACTGTACTGTATATTATGTGGGTAAAGGAAAACTTACCTCATTAAATACACTTCTAAACCCATAGTCATGAGTATAGTGAACTTCCTCAGGACTGTAAACATTGGCAAACTGTGGAAAAACCAAAAAGAAACATGCATAACTTAAGTCTGATATTACATAAATTTGACTCTTGCAAGCTTTACGCCATGTTAGAACGTTGCTTCCTCATTAAAATCAATCCTGGAATTTTGTTTTGTTTCACTCATTTACAAAGAACTTTTATATGCTGTGCCGGTTTGTGTGTTAATCATGTCTGAATGAAACAAAACAAAATTCCAGGTATGTTTGTGATGAGCAAACAACATTGCAACAAACCAGAAAACGAGTAACATGGGCTCTTTAAAGATCTTAACATGAAATAGTCAGTAATATTCAGTGTTCTTAAAAGCCTACCTGAGTTTTTTTGTGCTCCCCAGACCTGTTATGTGGTTACCTGTGTACAACAATGGAAGCGGGAATACCTGAAAGCCAAACAATATGAAACATTTTACATTATTAGTCTGTAAATTTGCTCAGGATGACTTTAAAGACTGAGCAGACAAACCTTCTTGAAAATACTTCTATCAAAATCCTGAAATTGCACAGCGTTGCTCTTTTTGGCCACATACAGAACCACAATCGTAGTTACCATCTGAGGAAGATAATGTCAACTGTAAGTCAGCTATGTGTCCGCCACCTGCTTGTTTCTATGGATATGTCACTGCTGTGCTTGGAATGTTCCGCAGTGTGACATTAAACAGATCTACCTTATTTGTCTTGAATTACAGGTGGTTTTATAACTCAAAGACCATGCACTTTGTCTCCGAGTGGGAGTGTAACTTGGTCTGGATTGGTGTCATGAAGTTAGAAAGGTTTAATGCCATACTATGAAACATTCCTGACAAAGCGGAAAAAAAAAAAAAAAAAAAAAAAAAAAGCATATGACAGCTACACAATGCACCTTTTTTTCCTTTTCTGAATTTGCACCTGTGCAGCTTACCTGTCCTATTCCTAGAAAGGCATAAGAAGGAAACCTGCAAAAAGCAAACACACAGTCATGGTCACGTGACAGTAAACTTATGGAGCATAATTCGTTAACCTTGCATACACCACGCGACCTTCTGACCCACCTGTAGCCGGTCAGCACAGTCTTGTTCACCACGGTTATCAGGAAAGAGCTGCCCGCGTAAAACAGAGCGGACATCAACTTCGCCATTCCCGAAGGCTGAGCGGCGCATTTCGTTGTCATCGTACAACTTAATGCGGTGAACACACTCCGTTTCTCTCTCTCCGAGCCAGACAGCGGGAGAGGCGAGCCGATTCCTCTTTCTGAGTGTAATGTTTAGATTTCCTGTCCTCCCTGCGTGAATGGGCGGTCCTCTGAGAACTGTGCGCCGGCCAACTATTAGGACACGTGGACCCACCGCTCATGTTTGTCAGTGAAACAGAAACCGCACGGCTTTACAATGAACACTGACAGGTTTCACAATCATATGCATTTGGAGCTGAATTATAATGACAATGTATAAAGCAAAAGAAAGCAACATTTTAAATATATTCAAAGAGACAATAGGTTATGGACTAAGGGGTGAGTTACATTTGTATATCTATGGAATCGACTGAGGGAAAAAAAAATGCAAATCTTTTTAAAAAAAACGTACAAAGACAACCTTTCAGAAATGCACCACCAGGAGAGCAGATATTATATCATGTAGAGGAAATAATGTAAATTATTGTAGGAGCAAATAAGATTCTTCCTTCTCCGTTTTTGAAAAAAATGTAACTTTTTTTTCTTTCTTTTTGTTAAATGTAGAACATGTTTGTCTTGAATGTCTTTCCAAGTAGAGAGACTATATGTTGTGCTTTCTTTAAAATGTTCAAAATAGTAACTCTACTGACAAACAAATGTGTAGGAGACAGTGACATTTGATTTTATTTTCCTAATGATCTCTCAGGGCATTTTCAAGTTGTTGTTGGTCACAGAGTATCCTAGCCTAAAATAAGAGAGTGCCTACTCTACTACTACTTGCAAACTCACTTGTTTAATTTGACACTACAATCAGTAATGTTAAGTAGCCAGTTCAGTGGTAAATTGTAAAAGTTTAGTGAGGGACAGCCTTCATTAGGCTTTTATGCACTGTTTGATCCATTCTCATGTCAACACAATGTCACTAATGCTGATATAATTCATGTTTCATAGATACACAAAAGTGTAGCTGTTTGACTGAAGATTGTTTATTACACTGCAAAGAACAATATCTAAGTAAGTTAAAATAACTTAAATTAAGAACATTTTACTTTATTTGAGTAGATTCAACTTGACAAGTAAAATTATCTACCAATGCAGTAAGTGTGGGTTTCTTAATTCAAGCAACATTTGATTTTGTTTTTTATTTTAAGCTCAAAGAGTTGTTGTTTTTTGGTGTAGCAAGATGTATTTTCATATTTTAACAACAAAAAGTCTTGATCCACTGTCAGATAATTTTACCTGTCAAGTGAAATTTACTCAAATCTTGATAAAACTTTCTTAATTGAAGTCATCTTAACTTGGAAACCTGGAGACAAGTAGGTGCTGGCCCATAGAAAGTTACGCATTGCACCTTTAATAAGTGGAGTTACTGTGATTGAGTGAGTTTCAGGAGTAGGACCACACCTCAGCCTCCTCCTGCTCTTCTCCAGTGACACCACAGCTCAGCTCACACCTTCAATTACCCAGAAGTCCTGTTTACACAGGCCTATCCCAGCAACACCATCTGTCTCCACTCTCATCGATAAATATCTTTATTGTACACTTTTGTTGTGGCGTGGTTTTTACTCGTGAATCTTCAGTTGGTGCATGGACATGGTAGTATGTGCTGATTTATCTGATGCCAAAACTCTGAGGTCTTCGAGTTTCTCTTGCTGTGATTAGTGGTGTTGTTTTAGATGGGTATGTAAAATTTGACCAACAGATCAGCCCTATCAGGTCAGATCAGACTTTCACCAACTCTGCTTCTTAGAAAAGTGAAGCCACACCTGTCCCACCCTGACCTGGGGCAGGTTATTCACGCCTTCATCACCTGTTAATTGAACTCCTGTAATTAGCGATGGGAAGAATCATCTCAAAGTGTATTTAGTTACAGAATGCTGAATACCTGCATTGAAATGTGCTTTGTAACACATTCTGATACACGGGCCAATCAGAGTACTGCATTCTGTTTACTTTTACATTACTATAATTTAAAATACATTGTAAAATAGGATAGAACAGCTTTATGTTTGCTTCACCTTTTGTTATGCATTTCCTACCACTAGTTAGGGAAAATGACACATGTATAAGGCAATAAGAGCTATGTTTTCTATTTTTCTCACTAATTGTGTACATGTATTCTAAGTACATGTATCCAGTTACTCCCCACCACTGACTGTAATTTCCTGTACTGTAAACTGTACCGTCCACCTGACCGAAAATCTCACAGGTACCAGGAAATATGAGCACAATTCTCATGTGGCCTCTCTGCGCTGGCTTCCTGTCAACATCAGGACTGACTTCACAGGTGCACTATGTAACTTTTGTTTGGTTTGTCACCTGCTTGTATCTATGAAGCTGGAATGTTCCACAGTATGACATTAACCAGCTCTACCCTAAATTTATTCAATTACAGGTGGTGTTGTGCCCTTTTTGAGGTTTGTAACTCACATAATAAAAAAAAATAAGCACTCACGGAGATCCAGAAAGTGCCTTTATCAGTTTATTTGAATTTTTTAAAATATAATATTGTCCATGGTTGACTTTCAATAGCAATTTAATGGTCACAAAATAATATCTCCCCTCCTCTCTAGGTGCTGGCACTGCCTTCCTCGCCCTGCTGCTACAGGTGGCAGGAGGAGGGACGGAGGGGGACGTGTCTGGGGAGGAGGAAGTCTGGGAGTCCCTGCTTAGACTGCTGCCTCCGCGACCCGGCGCCGGATAAGCAGAAGAAAATGGATGGATGGATAGAGGAGGGGAGATCGTGATGACCTAAAATACAAAATTCTATAATCAAGAAAAGTGCTTTTTAATAATAAATAATTAATCAGGTTAATAATTTCTTAAAATAAATATAAACTGCTCTGACAAGTGGTTTTATAACTAAAAAAATGTACTTTTCTGGTGGACGGTCTGTCAAATGCTTTTCTCTGTGGAGATGTTATCGCTTTGTCTGCAATGTTTCACAGTGTGGTATTAAACCTTTCTATCGCCATGGAGACCAAACCAGACCAAGTTACAGGTTAGATCTGTGGAGAGGCGAACCCGCTCACAGTCAGAATGCCTGTTTTTCTAGGTATTTTTGAGCTATAAAACCACCTGTAATTGAATAAATATGAAGTAGAGCTGTTTAATGTCATATTTTGAAGCAGAGCAGTGACATATCAGTAGAAACAAGAAGGTGACAGAGCCCCAAACAAAAAGTTACTTAGTGCACTTTTAAGATCATTATATTGAAGATTTTTGCAAAAACATTCACTCTTGTTTTTCCAAATTTACACTGCACTTTACATTGCGTTTGTACAACACTTTGGGCAGCTGTGATTATTTTTAAATGCACTTTATAAATCAACTTGACTTGACAAAAATTGGTTATTTAAAAGTGTAAAATTACTGGTCTCAGTTTTACATTTGAGGCATGATCACTTACAGGCCTCTCAGTTAAACATTGTTCAAACTGACGCTTGAGTAATTATATGAACAAAATTGTGTAACGTAATTCTTTCTGATCCTTTGTTTGAGGAAGGAGGAAACTTTCGTCACCTGCTTTTATCAGCTCTTACTTCAAAGACTAAACGCAACTGAAAAAAAAACATACAATTCAGAAATGTTTGTGTCCTCATCAAAACTAATAATAACTGAAGATGTGGATTATATTAATTCTGCTTTACAGATTTTTGCACCCATGGGGGAGGCTACAATGTTCAGTAATTTACATAATGCAAATACTTTCTGTCTTTCTATTGTCCTCATCAGATTTCCTCACAAGCAAACTACATATTTTAACTTTTAACAAACACATTAGATTCATCTTGACAGTGGTTTGATTTAAACTGCCGGAAGTAGAGGTGAAAGCTACATAATAATCATGATTTGCAATTGTTGTTTTGGAGGTATGCAAAATAATTATATAAAGTACAATTAAAGGTATTTAAATGGATGCAGTTAGAAGAGATTAGAAAGTATAAAAGTGTAAAATTAAAAAAATAAAGGATATAAAGCAGGGGTGGAACGTGAAGTAAAAGTTTCTGTACTTGAGAACATTTTAGAGTGGATCTTTTTACTTTGTATTTTTCTTCCTACTTCTTCTAATTTCAACAAATGAAAAGTAAAAGTATTTTTTATTATTATGTGAGACCTGCTGAAAAGGCAGAGGAGTTTACTTTTGAGTTTGCATTCATAGTTTGAGAAAATGAAAACATTCAGAGAAAAACTGCAAAGAAAAAAAACCAAACAATTGATTTAGTTGTTTCTGTTGAACAAAGATCAGCACAAATCTTTATTAAAATCACTATATTTTAAGCCAGGGGCGTCAAACTCAAATTCACAGAGGGCCCGAAATTAAAAACTGGGACTAAGTCATGGGCCAAACTAAATATTTATTGAAAAATTTCAGCAACATCTGCATGCTTTCTCTTCTTCGGAGATTTGTAATGTTAAACCTTTTCTTATTAAAATAAATAATAATAGTTTTGCTTAAACATTGAATCCAGAACAAGTATAATATAAAATAATAACAACATTTTATATAATGACTCTATAGCCTATCTGAAGCCAGCGGGCAGTCTGACATGTCTGTTTTAAGCTTTTCTCAAAATATGCAAAATACTTTTACTTTTCACTCTTCAAGTACATTTTAAAGGGGTATTTTAATACTTTTGCTGAAGCAGATTTTTCATGTGATACTTTTACTTCTACTTGAGTGATTTCTTACTCGACTATCTATACTTTTACTTAAGTAACAAAATTGACCAAAAAAACTAAATTACTTCTTCCACCACGAGTATGAAGTGGTATATTTCTGCAATATTTTGATCTCATCTACAGGCAGGTTTTAGCAAATTTTTTGAAAGACTGTAAAAATATTGGCTGAATATTGTCATCTGCATAATAAAAATATATTTATATATATGCACCAGTATTTTTGTCAATATCACCCACCCACAGGATAACAAACACAGAGCTTATATTAATCATCATTGAATCATTGCAGGTTCATGAATAATTATTACCGTGTTAAAGGCGCCTGTCTGCTCCTGAGTCAGATGTACTGTAGTAATTTCACTTTATATTTCACAATAGCTACAATTTCTGTGGGTGGAATTTCTTATTTCCAAGAACCAGCATTGCAAAAGAGAAAAAATACAT